AGTCAAAATAATTAACAACAATTATTGTTCACTACCTAATTGCCCAATCAATCTACTATTTCCAATGTTTACATGTTAGTTTGTTTGCATGAACAAGAAAAGAAAAGAACAGACAAGTTGCTTTTTTCCTTTTCTAGGTGGGGCTAGCTAGGAAGCTAGGGAGAGAAAGAGCTGCTTAAAAAAATACTACTCCCTCCATCTCATATTATAAGTCACTCCTTTTAAAAATAGTTGGACCACAATATATGTCATTTTATAAAATTTATGCATAAATTATCATATTTTGCCTATTATACCCTTAATTGATTAATTAATTAATCTTGAAAATATATTTATTTTGACTAACCTAGGAAATCTACATCTACAGACTATAAGTAATTAATTTCATTGGGAGAGTACTTCATTCATTAATTAACTACTTTCTTTATTCACTACTTATTCTATAAAATCTGATTTTGAAAAAAAATATCAACAAACAAATTAAAAATAAAAAATTCAAAAAATTCAAAAATAATCTTGAAAGTAGAAGCTTCAACAAATTTTATCAAGGAAGATGACATTTCAAAAAGTTCAAAGGATGTAAAAATAAAAGACTCAACCAAAACATGTGAAGGCCAAATTGAAAAAAATCAAAATCTAAATAAAAAAGTTATGCACCATTTCGACTTGAATAAATTTCCAGCTGAAGGAGAAGAAGCCTACATGGATAAAGAATTACAACACACATTTAATGTCTATGCTAAAAAAAATTACTCCCAAAATTTTATTAGGTCCTATCTTTTTTCAAGCATTTCTTCAAATGAAATTTTGTTTTGCCTTAGCAGTGCCCACTTCTTTTTTTAAAAAACTTGTTCTTTGCCTAGAGCTTGTATTCAAGTAAAATTTGAATACATTCAAAATTATTCTGTTATTGTACACATTTTCGTAATCTTTTTAAATTATTTTAGATCAATTGGTGAAAAAAATTGGCTCCAAAAAGTAAAATTTAAATAGTAATCCAAATGCATTTATATTTTTGAAATCTAACATTTCATCATTTATTACAAAGTTGTCATAAGCAAACATTAAATAAGGACATAAGGGTAAAATTACCTTATTTCTTAATGCAAGTGCAAATGGAAAATGTGACTTATAATATGGGACGGAGGGAGTACTAGTTTTTAAGTAAAAAATAAAATTAAAAAAATCAAACTTCAATTATTTTCAAGTCAAAAATAAAAAGTAGAAGAAGATCTATTTTTAGTTTTTAGTTTTTTAAAAGTCATTTAAAACTTATTTTAAGTTATTTTTAATTTTGTCACTCACTTCTAAAAGCTAAAAGTGACTAATTTGACAAACTTTTAAATCAATCCAAACATGCTTTAAATTAGTCCATGCTTAAACATACACTCCTAATAATGTGAATGGCTATGAAATTATCAAAATTTGTGATCACATACATGTCAAAGTGAAACTTCACTGAATTAATATTAAAACATGGTTCAAATTGAATGATTAAGATAAATTATGTTTTACATAAGAAAATCGTTATATTTAAAATAGATTAATATAAGAAAATAATTTCACAAAAAGGAAGAGGTATTATTTTTATCCCTAAATACATAAATCACTTAAGTACTTAGCTATGATAAGATATACTCCATCCATCTACTTTTAATTGTCTTGGTTTCCTTTTTTAGAGTCAAACTATAAGAACTTTAATTAACATTTTATGATGTATTTTTTCATCATAATGATATACAAAAAATTGCAATTTATAATACTTTTTTGTTTAAAATATCGAATCAATGTAATATATATAATTTAACTTTGAAAATTGGTCAAATTGACTTTCAAAAAATGCAATATGACAAATAAAAGTTGACGTAATTAGGAGTATTGATTTGATATAAATTCCATCGTTTAGCAATCTGATACAACTTCATAAGCGCTTGTAAAATAATCCACGTTTATACATCATGACAATTGACACCCCTTTCCACTATTTTGTTCCAATCCTTTTTAACCTTTGTATTCTTTTAATTTCTGATGAAATAAGTAAGTAATGCAGGCAATGAGTCTTGGAAGTTGCCGAGCTTATCATATACCCCTTCTCATAATTCAAATAACTTCTATCATTTGTGATCCAAATATATAACAATTCAGCTTCTAACTAGCTAGTGATGCATGCATGTTGTCTGTTGAGTTTAGATTCAAATGATCGTCACTAAATTTAAGACTTGTTTTTTTTTAATATTAATATATATATAAAGTACTGCTCGATATGGAATTTGCCTAAACCAGTTATTTTAGTTTTAGTTATATATATTTCTTGAATGTTAGTTGGACTAGCTAGAGATGTGTGGATGAAATATCCGTAACCCTCGTGGAACAACTCCCTCTTCATTTTGTCTATCATCAAATTAAATGGAGTCGGTTGTATTCCATCCAAAATAGCCATTTAATTTGCTAAGTGTCATTCTTACTTCCGTTGAACAATTAGCAATATTTTTGTGAAATTTTGCATATACGACTTTGGGTGTGTTTGGTGAAATGTTTTTCAATTTTTCATTGGTCAAAATATTTTTTCTCTAGAAAAACAATTTTCTTAAAAATGAAGAAAATGACTTTCCTAAATATTGAACAATTAGCAATATTTTTGTGAAATTTTGCATATACTTTGGGTGTGTGTTGGTGAGGTGAAAATGTTTTTCAATTTTTTATTGGTCAAAATATTAGAAAAACAATTTTCTTAAAAATGATTTTCCTAACAAGTTTATTGTCTCTTCTCCAGTACCTCAAAATTGTCATCTCATAATGTATTTTACGATTACATATAAATACTAGGCGGTTTGTTGTGATGCGCTCAGCTCTCTTCTTTGGTATGACTAAAAGAGGGCATTGGCATGTCTTGTAGCAGGACGTAATTTAGCTGAAAATGAGAATCCCTCTCCCCTGCTAGGCCCTCTCTTGTCTCAAACGGTCCCATCTACTACCTTGTTTTTTCACTCTTTTGGTCCTGTCTCACCATTTCTATTGTTTTCCTATAATATAATATATACAATTATTGACAACGCCACGTCTATTAGTAGAACACGCTTTTCAATTCTTACCAAATTAGAAGTTCCCACTTGTCTTCACAACCACTATACTTGTGCCAATTTTAATTTAGCATGATATTGTTTGCTTCATATAACAAACTCCTACGTTCACATTATTAAAAGTATCAAAGCATTTTCTGGAATCGAATTAATGAGCTTGACATTAATATCGATCACTTGTAATTAGAATCACATTATTATCATCATTCAAAAATTAGGTATAGATGATATCAAAGACACAACTTTATTTTTGAATGAGTGGCAGGCGAGATCTGGCTCCCCTCCATTTCGTCAAGTGCACATCTAAATAAGAGACATGTGTCTTATTTAAATTTTAAAGGTCAAAATTATACTACATTAACAAATATTATAATCATAGTTAAGTCAACCAATTTTGAAAAACTACTCCCTAAATATGATAAGAACAAGATATTTTCTATATAAATTTTGATATTCATTAATTTCATCTTATATTTTTATATATTCAAATATTAAAAATTTCTTTTATTCCCAACGAACAAATTTTAAAACATACTTCTTTCCCCCCTTCAAACACAGTACATAGCCACATTTTCTCCTCTTACTAAAGTATGGTAATTTTGATATTTCACATTTGTAATTCTAAGAATTTCTCGTTTTTATTTTATCTTTTTATTTCCCACTTTTATTTCAAGGTTTTTGTCTACATTGATAATTATTCACCTCCTTTATTCGTTTCTCAGCGTATATAATATTTTAAGAACAAAATTTATAATCACAAAAAATTGTTTAGTTGATTCTCACCTTAAAAATAATATAATTTAATATTTAAATACAAAATATAAAATAAAATTAATGAATATCAAAATTGATATTCTTACTACATTTAGGGAGTAGTTTTTCAAAATTGGTTGACTTAACTATGATTATAATATTTGTTAATGTAGTATAATTTTGACCTTTAAAATTTAAATAAGACACATGTCTCTTATTTAGATGTGCACTTGACGAAATGGAGGGGAGCCAGATCTCGCCTGCCACTCATTCAAAAATAAAGTTGTGTCTTTGATATCATCTATACCTAATTTTTGAATGATGATAATAACTGTTAAAGTAGTATAATCTTGACCTTTAAAATTAAATAGGACACACGTCTCTCATATAGATATGCACTTGACAAAATGGATGGAAGGGGTAATGGAGGGGAGCCAAATCGTGAGAGGTGTATCATCCGTGACCCTTCACCTAGGTTTCTCTCCACATTCGACATTTTTTTTCTAATCAAGTTTAAATAATGTAAGACTTTGTGAGTACATCCAACACCATTCACCCATCCATATCAAGTGTAATCTTGGTGCAAGCTAAGAAATCAGAGTCATAATCTTCCTTAATCAGTAGTATATTTGTAGTTAAAGCAATTATAATAATGATGTCAAATCGTCAGGGTAATTGAGCCTTGCATAATTGGAGATAAAAACATGCAACATGATTTATATGAAATCCCGCTAAGATTGAAAACAAACTATGTCAGGATATGACATGGACGTGTCTCGTACCAGGTGTGTCTTTATCATGGTCGATCTTCTAGTATTTCCTACATAATTAAGTTGATGCTCTTGAAGAATGTAGAATAATAAAACTATTCCAATCAACACATAGATATATAAATGTCAGTTCATTATCAAAAAAAGTACTCCAATCAACATATATATATTGTCAGTTCATTATCAAAAACTAGAGCACAAGGACATATATATATATAAATTGAAGAATACACGTGTGCCCATGTCACAATGTAACATCTACAACTTGTGGGTCTGGAATCCAATTTCTCAGTCACTATAATCTTTACACAAAATGACAACTTTATTGTCTTGTAATTTTCTCTACTGATGCCAGCTTAGCTTCTTATTCAGGAAAGTAAGATAATGATGAAACTATATTAGTACTTAAAACCTTCTTTTACACGTACAATTAAATTTCTCTTCTTTCATATCTTAAACTCAAACATCTCTCCTCAAACAATATGAAGGTACCGGCCGGTGACTCCAATTATTTCTATATTTGGAGACTGACTCATTAAACTTGCAACTAATTTTCTAACTTCATGATCCTTAATTGCAGTTACTAGGTTGGATGCACTCTATACTAAGACAAAAAGGAAATGAGCCACCAAACAATACTGCCATAATAGGTAATTTACACTACTTAATTCTCTGCTTAATAAATTACCGCACAATATATAGCTCTGAAATTTATGACTTCTTATATAGTGATCTCAAGTTTAATTTATATATAGTACGTATCGTATAATAGTAATTGAGTGGACAATTAAATTATTTGGTAATAAAAATATAAGATATAGACAAAAGTAAGTTATTGGGCTTTCTAACACTCCAGCACCAGCAGTTTCAGGAAATTCCGTGTCAGCTCATGACAAGGAAGTTAAAAGCAATGGAGCAGAAGATGAAATTTTCCCTGGATTTTTGGCAATTGGTACTCTGGGTAATTATGAGACAACTAATACTGACCCTCCAACGCCAACGTTTCCTATGCATGTCGAAACAGAGAAAGAACTGAAGTTCATAAATGATGAGCTTGAGAAATTTCTTGAAGAGAAAGTGAATGAAGAATTTGCTTTTGAGCCATCAGAAAGAACCATGGAAGAATGTCCACTTCAGAAATATCTCTTGGGTTCTTCAGTTGAGTCGCAAGAGATCATAGAGTCCGAGGTAATGTGTGACTATCTCCATCAAACATGCACGTGCTAGTTCTTTTTAATAATGAATGGCTGTGAGACCTTGAGTTTAAACTTTCAAAAGGAAACACACACTTTTATTTACTTAATTATATTTTTGACAGGTAAAGCTAAAGCAACAAAAAGGATTCATAGAAGAGTTGTTTAAGAAGAAAAACAAAGATAAGAAGAAAAAAGATGCAGTTCATTTCATGAAAAAGGTATTGCAGAACCTCCTGCCCAAATCAAAGAGCTCAAATGTCACTGCATCTGTTTCAAGCAGGAAGAAACTCCCTCAGGTCACTACTTAATTATTTTAAAGTCAAGAGCTATCAAAAAATCGACTCTTCAAAATTAAGTTCATAGGAACACTTGTCAGCAAGTGTATGATCTCAATAGCTTTATTTTTATGGACTACTAAGTATATATGTACGGGAAGATTAATTAGTGAAGATATACATGAGTATTTCTATTGAGCTTATTATGTCATATTTTTCAATAAAGCTGATCGAGCTTAATCGATCATCTCTATTTGTTCATGTATATATCGTAAAGATGATGTGATATTTGGGCCTAGCTCAATTTCAAAAACTAACTTAACTCATATATAGGATAGGATTGTCCAAGTTCATATTTTGCTAACCAATATATATATAATGTGGGACACAAGTCATAAATATAAATTCTTGAGGAACTAATTTAATAAACTTTTGATGTTTTATGTAGGTCCTTAAAATGTTTTACAGAAAAGTTCATCCTGTGAATGAGAACAATATTCTAGAAGATAATCATGAGATTAGCAACATGAATATTAATGTTTCCTGCAAGACTGCTAATCTGACAAATTCTTCTCCAAAGAAGGAAGTCATCAACAGAGAGCACTGGATTAAAACAGATAGAGATTGTAAGTAAAACAGTACTACTACTATTAATTAATTACATTCAATCTCTTCTGTTGTCAATTACTATATATCTGACTGCATGCATTTATATGTGTGTTTCTCATAATATATATAAAGACTTGGTGCTGGAGCTGGAGCTGTAGATGGATGGCAAAATATTAAGGTGTACGTCCGGTGTTTATGTAAAGAATAAAGGAGTACCTTCATTATTCTTTGTGCAACTCGATCAAAGTGTGCATGCGCTGGCCAGATTTGATTATATATGTTTGATGAATTGTTAAGAAAGTAATAGTATTGTCTTAAATAATAATGTGTGAAGTTAGACAGACATGTATGTTTGTTGAGTAATATTGTTTCTTTAGCCATCAAAAACTATTTCTAGTTTGTATATACGTATGCTCCAATCATTGACATGTCACTAGCTTTAATTTTGTGTCTCTCTACATTCTACAATGATCGGATCCGAGTAACAAAAATCCTTCAAGTAATTAATTTATTGTGCTATGTATCAAAAGTGGTTCTACTCATTCGCATGCATGAGTACTACTCCCTTCGTCCCATTTTATATGTCACCTTTCGGATTTCAAAAGTCAAACAAGTCTATCTTTGACTGTAAATTTTTCATAGATCTTTTAAACATTTTGAATTATCAATTATTGTGACTCATAGTACTTTTTACGTAGTTTACAAATATATAAATTTCATTCCAAAAAATTAAAGATTCCATGCGCAAATTACCGGTCAAACTTAAACTGTTTGACTCTCAAAAACATAAAAGGTGTCATATAAATTGGGACAGAGGGAGTATTGACTAGAGAATTCTTATTCCTTGTGCTATAATTTGTCCCACTTAACTTATATTTTAACTTGTGCCATTCAACTTGATTTTTTGGCACAACGTGTGCTTCAACGTTCCATACAACTTAGGTCACTAAATTTTTATTTTGGGGCATAACTTGTGCCTGGAGGTTAATTTATTTTTGCCTTCAAGCATAACTTGTGTCACTGCACTTATACTTGTGTCTTGGATATAAAAAAAAAAAATTCCTTAAAAATAACTTGTATCAGTGAACTTATGTCCAATGACATAACTTCATGTTATTGAACTTATGTATGGGGGAACTTGGTTCTAAAATTTTTATTTTTTATTTTTTCATTGTCGCGGACATTTTTTTGGCTATTTTCTGTTATTTTAAGTTCTAAAGCGTAAAAATTATAGATCATCGATTTTAAAGGGCAAAATAAAAACCACCCTGTTTTGGGGGCATTTATGCGATTAAATCTAAGCCTAATATAATTATTTTTCATTTGATTTGAGACATCTTCAACATCTATGATTTTTAAGAATAAAATGCATATATGACTCCTCAAATTTGTTGGGTTAATATAATAAAAAATATTTTTAATATAGTCATGTGATATTCATTTTTGCCAAATCCATGCGCTAGTATTTGGTTGTACATTCAATAATTTCTCTATCAAATTAAATTCCAGATGATATCAATTTTATGGTTAAAATAATTTATTATATTGATAATAATTCTTTAACATATTATGGTATCATTTTGAATCAACTTATACTGTTTTCACACTATTAAGTGCATCTCTATAACTTTTAAGTAGCTTTTTTTTTTCTCTGTCATCTATCAAGATGAGATATCATTTGTATATCCAACAGTATTTAGATTGATAAAATATCTAGAAAAATATTAAAATATAAAAGCAACAAATCAAAAATTGGTTGAGATGTCAAATTTAGTTTAGATGATATGAAGAGATACCACTTTTATCTTAATGCGACTTGGGGAAAAATACAACAAAATAAAATAAAAAATGTATAGTTCATTAGATATTTTGCTAAAAGAAATTTTCAGATTTTGGAATTAAGATATGTTTCATAAGATAATCATTGACATTATAATAAATCCTTTTTAGGTAAATTAACTATAAGCTTATGATGACCTGGACATTTCAGTTGATAGGTGCTTATTTACTTCTTTTCTTTTTCATAAATTGTCCCTCGCTCCATTCACATTTAATTGTTTTTTCTGAATTGTGCACATTCTGTTTTAAAAATTAATGATTAATATGAGTGTTTTTATCACGATACTGATCATATTAATTGGTGTTTAATTTTAAGTTTCTAAAATAATTCAGGAAATTAATAATTAATGTTGAGAATAAAATATGAAAAAAAACTCCTCCTAATTAAAGCAAAAAAACTATTTTTCTCTACTTTTTCTTCTAAATTCATTTTTGATGTCTTGATCCCTTTATGAATATCTCATTTTTATATCACATAGTTTATGAGATTTCAAGATGCTAGTCTTAGGGTGTGTTTGGTATGAAGGAAAATGTTTTTCAATTTTCTGATGTTTGGTTGGGTAAAATGTTTTCCAAATCAAACTCATTTTTCTCAAATTTAAGGAAAATGACTTCCCTTCAAAAATTAAGGAAAACATTTTCCAAAACTCTCCTCCAACTTCATATTACAATTTTTTTTGTTGAAAAAAAATAAATTTAAAGCTTATTTTTAAAAAAATATTTTCAGCTTCAATTTTTTTACCCCATCCTCACCTTA